CACACTTATTTTGAAACTGACTCCCTAAAATATTTTAGACAGAGAAAAAGTGATTTTTCAACTGACTCAAAAATAATTTTTATCCCTCACAAATTAAATTGTTTTGTGCAAAAGATATTGTCATCCTTACAAGAATCCTAGACTCAATAAAAATTAAAAAGTCTTCGGAGTCTTCACATCACTTCAAAAAACTGCGTTGGGGGACCGTTGATTTTTATCCCGTAACTTTCTTGATACACCTCTTTTCTTTTCTCAGTACGAAAAGTAAATTTTCGATCATCGTTTGAATTTCATCATCCTGTTTGTCATTTATCAAAACAAAAATATTCCAGAAAAAATAATAAAGGGGTTTGAACTCATGTCCAACATGGCTGAAATTAATCGCTGCCATTTCTGAACAGAAGAGTTGGATTTCACCCTAGGCTTAATTTCATCCCAGCTCGATCCCCATGGGGTTTCCACTCGCTGGTTCCGCATCTCCCAAGGAAAAGGACATTGACTTTACCTTTTTTTCCAGTGCTAGACTTCACCTAATTTTTTCTGATGAGATGGAAAGTACATGGAGGCATGGAGCCATGGAGGGGATCCTAAATTTGACTAAACGTACCCTAAAAAATGAATGTTAGATTAACAAATAAAATGATCACCAAATTCCCAAACTAAAAAATGGCCTATAAACTTCTATTAATTATATATAACTAAATTATACACAAAATTTATTATACAAAAAAAATTATGCAAAAAGTTTTGACTACAAAAAAACTAATACTAAGTGTTTCATAAAAAATTCATAGGGTTAAACATAATTTTGGTTCTATAAACATAATTTTAGTTGTTTTAATTTTCTAATAGTGATAAAATATGTTTTGAAGTACTGGAATATATATTGGTTTGTTAATTTGAAAACAAACAAATTCTATACGTTGGCCTGTTAATTTAAAAATTTTGCAATTTCAACCGTTTTTGTTTTTATATCACCAAAATATAACTCATGCTTAGATGAATAGGGGGGATAGTACTATACCCAAACCCGGCCCGACTTTAAAAAAAATTCGGTTGGGGTAAAAAATTTCGGGACGGATTTGGATTATATTGTTTTCGGTTCGGGTTAGGTTATTTTAGTAGTCGGGTCAGTTAAGCGCGGCTTCGGGTTGAATTGCCATCCCTAGTTTGCTGCAATAAGGGAATACCTTGAAACGTTTTTTTAAAAAATACATAAATCCCAAGACGTATAATAACATATATACCAAAAGAAACATCTTAATGTAATAACATTTTGTTCCAAACTTCCCTCCGAAAACAAGACATATAATAACATACCAAAAATAACGTTTTGGTTTTAATTGGCCACCCAAAAAACCGTACAAAAACATTCCATTACAAACACCACGCCACCATTTTAAGAAAGTTGGAATGCAGGGAGTCTTCATTGGTTTACACATTCTTTTTCTTTTTATGGGTATTGCAGCGACCACTGACTTTCTTCTTTTTCCTTTTGTTCTTCCTGCTGCCTTCAGCCATGGCCACATTACTCCTTGGACAACAAACGAAATACAATCACATTTATGTCAGGAGTTGCTCTTGAAATTAATCATCACGCAGTGTAACACAGTTGTAAGAAGAAATTAAACAAATTGGTATTATGCATATAACACATTATCCCAGCATCTCCTTAACCAAGTTATCAGGCACACTGAAATTATTTTCGTAGGTTAAGATAGTGACATTGAATTGCCAGGGTTAAACTATAATTCACTTTTAGGAGAGACGCCATGGAATTGCCGGCTCTTGGTTCCATGTCAGTATCAAAAGGGGACTTAAAACGTTGTTCAAAATAAAATTAAAACTGGGTTAAATCTGGTCATGTACATAATACTTGTCTGTTTCTTAATTTGGTGAGATCATTCAAAAGACATTTAAGCAATCACAATATCACACATTCACATTAGTGTAGTAGAGATTAGATACGGTAATTAGAAGTGAACACTGATACGGTAATCCCCGTAGGTTAAAGTACAACACACATGTATCAGTGGAGTATAAATTTCACAAATTACAAATGAAATTCGATAATCTTAGGAATTGGATGTGAAATGACATACTTGGACTTGATCTCTGTAACCGAAGAGTTCACATCTCAAGAGGGTTGCATGAACTTCATCACATCTATCTTCGGATCCCAAGGTTTGAAGATCCCCGGAGAAATCTCCATTGCGAGTATCTCATACCTCTGGCCGTCGTCTAGCATCAATTGTGTCTTCTCAGTCCCAGCAATGATTATGACGTCTTCCTCTTCATGGTAATAGATGACTTCAGTCTCCTTTGAATCGTCCACACCATCGTCGTCGCTTTGAATGAAAATTACTTCGTTCTGAGATACATGGCCGCCGCCAACAGATTCGGATGAGAAGGCCATTGGAATGGAGATGAAGGGTTTTTTCTGGAGTGCGGCGAGATCGGATAAGGAGGGGAAGGGATATGAGTGGCTCTAGTTTGTTCAGTTCATGACAAGAGCCATTGATTTTATTTGGTGGTGGATGGAGGTAGATGAGTGGTTCTCATGTCCAAATTGAATTTTGTTATTAAAGTATGATAAATTTATTTGTACCCCAAACTTTTGTATCTCATTTGTACATCGCAGGTTTGCACCAACATTTTGTGTTGGTGTAAAAAAAATTTTAAAGCACCAAAACTTTGTTTCCGTGTAAATTTTTTGTTAACGCACCAAAACCTGTGTCAATGTAAACCCTTCCATGTTTGTGTATAACTGCGGTTTACAAATTTCATACAATTTTTGGTGTAAGTGTAGCATAGTCCATTAAAGCATTCTTATTACAGAATATAAAAGTTACCAAATTCTGGTACATATACGTACTGTTACATATACCGATAATTAACAATATCAAACGTCTGTTACATATAACGATAACCCGGTTTCCGTCTTGGATGTTACCAAGATAACCAAACTCTTCAACTGTTACATGTACTGACAACCCAACACAATCTTGACTCGTACTCGATAATTAACAATATCAAACGTACTGTTACCATAAGATAACCAAACTCTTCACCATCTTACATGTACCGACAACCTAACTCAATCTTCACTCGTTCAGGGATAATTACAAATATCAAACGCACTATTAAATATACGTACTAATAACCCTGTTTCAGTTGTTACAGCAGGTATGGTACCAGTATAAGCAAAGTAACCAACTGCTACATGTAACGATAACCAAAGTCAATATTTAGTCGTACTCTACTCGTTCCGATGATAAAACTTAGTTTTTAATTTAAGAATAACACGAAAAAATATTTTGGTTTTCACAATTCATCCACTGCTCTCGCTGTCCATAATAACACTATATAATATCGATCCTTGATTCCCGTTCTTTTAAATAATTTTATGTGAACATTGGTATGAAATTTTAAAAAAAGTTACATATCAAAAGACTATATCAAAACATATGCAAAACTGGATATGACACAAATTTATTATTTTATCAAATAAATAACAAACATTAGTCAACAAAATCGTAGGAGTTTGAAAAAAAATTAAATTGAACAAGGATTTCATTTCTAAAACTAAAAACTTTACATTTTTTTACTATTTTTAAAAAACGTGTCAAATCTACTACGTACATGTGAAAAAAAGGACTCGAGATTCTTTTTAAAACTTTTAAAATTTTTGCCATAATATTGGCCAAAATCTACTCTGTGCGAAAATATTGGCAAAGAAGGGGCCAAAACTTTTAATATTTTGGCCAAAATGTACTACGTGCCAAGGAAACTCCCTCTAAAATTTTGGCCAAAATATTTCAAAAAATTCACCCACCCTCCAAAATTCAGCTGGAAGCTCACCACGTAGCTTGTACCTGTACCTCCAGAAATCGAGAAGGCCTCCAAAAATTAACTTCACCTAATTCAATCAATTATCCACTGTACTCTGAACTTCAATCCCTACCTCCGGTCGCCTCCTCACTCAACCTTCTCTTCTCCGATTGACTTCCCTTTGCGATACTGGAGCCATAACCTACCATTTTTTCCGAGATTGGAGCTGAAAACCCTAAAATTAGGTAAGTTGTAAACCTCAAATCTGTTATTCTCTGAGGCCTCTTCTTTGCATGCGTCTACCTCGCTACTCAGATCCCTCCCAAAGAGGTCAGGGTTAAATTTCTCAATCCATTGAAGTCAAACTTCATTAGTTTGTTGTTATTCTTTTTAATTTACTATCTGTAAAGGGTTGCTTCCAGGATTTAAATACTCACCATGTAGGTTACCAGAAAGGGTTCAACCAATTCCTTAATTCGTTGAATGTGACATGAGAGCAGCAATACTGAACAATTTTTTTATCTAGAGTCAACTCAATACTCATTCAATCCTTTTTTAAATATATTTAAAAAATATTAAAGATAATACATTTTTTTATCTCAATATTTTGGTACAGACCTTTGTTGTTTGTGTAATGCCTGACATCAAAATTATTTTACTGTTTTAGTGTCCCTTATCACAATAACTCCTCAAAATTAACCTAAAAAATGATTGTGATAACCCAACTAAGAATTGAGGCAAAACCCACCTAAGAAAGGCTAAAGCCTTTTTGGTTCATTATACGCAACATTTTTTTGATGTATAATTGTATACCACGTAAAGACTGAAATTTTTCAACTTCACTCACTTTCAGAATATGGCAGCACTCAACAACGTTCGCAGGCTGGACGTGCAATCCAAAAACCAATTCTCCGGTCCTCTCCCAGGCACAAGAAACCTGAGCTCTTTTAGACCGTAATGAACTGCAATGTCATAGTTTTCCAAAACCTGAGCTCCGAACATCTCCCAGGCTTAAAAGAAAAGATCGGCCGAGCACTTTGACAGTGGTGCAGGCATTAAGTGGCTCAAGGTCAAAGAACGTGCAAAGTCGTTCTACTCCCTTGCCCGTCACCCCAAAGCCAAAGCCTATATCTGACAATGTACAAAAACAGATCAAACAGAAGAGAAAACGGGAAGAAGTAGAAAGTGAAAGTGTGGCCAAGCCTTCTGGGGGTGGGTTGAAACTTTGAAAACGTGGATGTGTTTCAATGCACCGCGTTGTGAAACGTAAGATAAATGGACAGAAACCAACGGTTGAGTTTAATGATAAGGGACAACCGTATGGTGTGGCTGCTGCAGAGATGCAATCTTATATTGGAGTTTTGGCTAGGACTAAAGCTCCAATATGGTTTGACACTTGGAGGCAAGTTCCGGTAACCATCACGAACAAGATTTGGAAATCTGTCACGGTAAATATAACCATACTAACACTTGGCTAGTCCTTACAAAATAAATGACTTGATCATTAATTATATACCTATGTTTTCCAACTAACTTAGACTAGTAAATTCCTCCCATGTTTATGCATATAGTTGGGGTTCGACCTCCCCCCTTCTGCACGAAAACTTGTGCTGCAGTCGGTGAATTCAAAGTGGAAACAATTCAAGAGTACCCTGACATGTCGATATATTCTTCCCTTTCGAGATGAACCTGAGAAGCTGAGGACTCCACCAGAGGACTTCTCTTTCCTAGAGAAGAATCATTGGGATATTTTTGTTGCTGATCATCTAAGCCCCGAGTTCTTGGTAAGACTATGTTTACATTGTACTTTATTTAAAATACTACCTTTTGATGCACTGTCCTTTTTCTGCAGAAAGTCCATGATGAGCATGTGAAGAGAGTTAAGGAAAACAAAGATCCTCATCGCTTGTCCTGAAAAGGCTATGCAAACCTGGAACAGGAATGGGTTAGTACTCACTGATTTATGCAAATTTCTGTGTTAGGAGTATTACTCTTCTACATGTACATTTTGAGTATGATACATTACTCACTAAATGAACATGCAGGCAAAAACACACAGTAGAGATGAGTCAGCCATTGATCAATCTATTACGTGGGTCCTTGCAAGGAAGGACAAAGAAGGAAATTTCAAGAGTGAATCTACAAAACAGAAGGCGGAGGAAATTGTAAGTTTTTGAATCATTTTTGTAAATTAGTAAGTTCTTGCACAGGTGTGTTGCTGTCTGTCTCTACTCCCAGCACCCCTTTTGTTTTTCATCCAATGGCTATTCCTTTGATGCTTTAGTGTAATGTTAAAATTTTGAGTTCTATACCGCTCCTATTTTATTGATAGAATTCTGATTCATTTTCAGGAGTTCCGCTGTCCCTTCCCAAGAGGTTAGCTGCTCACCTAAATTCAGGGAAGGTGGGCAGAATCAACAAGTGGAAAGGAAGAATCTGAAGAACTCATTTGATGTAGAACTTGAACCACTCACAGTGAATAATGACATTGGTGATGAGTGTAATCATAAACTGTCTGTGGCTGAGCATGTTGATGAGAAACAAAATGAAAAAGAAAGAGAAAAGAATGAGAGTGAAGATCAAGAAATTGATGCTGTGGAGAAGCTTGTGAAAGTTGGAGGACTAAAAGTAGAGGAGAAAGCAGAAAAAGATGTCTTCGTTGATTTATATTTTTTGGGGAAAGCCAAATGTCACAGCTTGATGTTGGTTCTGTGGACAATATTGTTGCACATGCTAAGCTGTATGGATTCTCCCGAATGGATGACCTCACCCTACATGGTGAAAAATTGGGTGAACAATATGCAAAGGTGTCCATTATAGAAGTGTTACAATTTTTATACGGATTACAACGGACGGGGAAGATGAACGGCCTCGGAAAATAAAAATAAATAAAATTCCGAATTTATAACTTATTCAGAATATTACAAGATAAACAGAATTGAAAATAAATTTATATATCTTCAAACAGCCTTGTTGTATGAGGATATTAAGCACTGGACATCGAGGACATTATGCACTGGACAGCAAGGACATTATGCACTGGGCTGCGAGAACATTATGCACTAGGGCAAAATGCAGCGAGGTCTTTATGAACTAAACCTGCAACAAAACACCGTGAAGGACAGCGGATTCGCCGGAGCTGTCCTTAAGGTAGTAGTGCCCGCCTACCGTACCGGAAAACGTGGGCACTCTCCTCCCAGGATAAAACCGCTACCGTGTGTGGAGATTGTACGGACCAACCACACACCAACGAACAATAACAACGTAGGAACGTTGACGACAAAAAAAAAACTTTAAGGGAGATGGCCGGAGAATTTGGCCGGAAAATCAAGAGCTCTCTCTAAATATTTGAAAAGAAAGTTTTCCCTTTCTTTTCCCTTTCTTTCTCACGTATGGCACACACAAAACACACCACACTAAACAATGGAGAGCCCTTGATATTTATAACTAAGGAATTTTAAAAAGTGTAACTCCTACACCATTAATCCATGGCATTTGTGGCACAATAATGACGTGTTAATGGTGATTAATTAGCCATTAACACGCCCGTTACGCTACGCTCCGTTTAAAATTTGTCCCGAATAATTGGAGATTAATGGCCAGTTAACTCCGTAAAAAGGACTAATTTTAAACAATACGTAAAATTAATAATAGAAGATTGGCTCAGTAAAATTGCAAAAAATTGCAATCCTTACCATATTCTTTTATTAACGGGTTAACTCTGAGAATCAATTTCTCATTCACCCTTCTACCATTTTTGGCGTATAATATATCAAAATATTTATCTCATTTAAGAGAACACACACCCATTAATTAACGGTTAAAACCGTGAGTGGACCTATTGATAAATATACCCAAGTTGGTCCATTTAATGCCTATTAAAAATGCCAAAAATTCCAACAAGAAGCATTACAAGGTTTGCATGAGCAACTTATTAATATTTTAAATGTATAAGCTAAGGATGAAATGCACATCCTTGTTAGAAGTACTCATGTTTTTAATCTTTGATATTTTCCAGATGTTGACATTCCAGTCCCAATCCCCGGTGAAGTACTTACTGTTGAACAAGCCAAAGGAACTTTTGTAGCATGGCCTAAGGAGCTGATAGTCTTGGATGTGCTTCCTAAAGGAAAGGTTATTATATATCTACTATTATGTCTACTTGATTCTTTTAGATGATATATTTACCCACATGCACATTTTTATAGAGCAATTTAAAAACTGTCAAAAAGAAAAAGGCCCCTAAAAGATTGAAAAAGGCAAATGTTCCAGACGATGAAGATTGTGGCCAAGAGTTCCAAGTAGAATTTGGTCCTGAGTATCCACTGCAGTTGAAACGGCTATGGTTGTGGGCTAAGGAAGCATTGTCTGATGATAGAGCACATACTTTTGTCCTTAATAAAGATGCCTTTGGGGTGGAAAAGAAGTTATCGGTTTTTCTGAGTGATATTATTGGAATATGTTTGTACATATCTCATCTTAATTTGTTTCCTTGTAGAAGTAGGACTCCATATATGTTTCCTAATATGTTTTGGAAACTATTGTTGTATATATACACATGTAGATTGTATCCACAAACAAGTCATTCAATTCTAAAATTCTACATGGTATCGGAGTGACTCTTGGGACAACCCTAAGACTACCGCACCCATACACGTCCATCCGGCCGCCGCTCGTTCCAATCGCCGCCGTTCGTCCGCCGCTGACATCTCAGCAGCCACCCATCACCAACACCATGACAACCGAAACAACCAAGAAGACATGGTTAATTCATGATCCATCCACGATTTATTATCTTCATCCGTCAGAACACGCTGGAAACGCCTTGACCAAATACCTACTCAAAAGTGATAATTATGAGGTTTGGGAAAAAGCCATACGTAATGCTCTAGGAGGACGGGGCAAGGCTATTTTCTTGGATTAGATGACGAACAGTTCGGTCCTCTCCGATCCAACCTCCTCGGGACTGAACCCATACCAGATTTGGATAGAGTTTTTCATCTCGTGTAACAAGAAGAACAGCATCGCACCATCATTCGCAGTCGAGATGACAAAACCGATGCTATGGCCTTTGCAACTCGCCGGGATGACCGGATCACACGTCCTCCTCCACCTTCGGAAAA